CTGTCAGTTTTTATTGCAGTAAGTGCCCCCGTTAGGGAGATTACTCTCTATTTGTCCTGTTTACCACTATCATCAAAGGTGAAGTAAAAGAAAATACCAAATTTTCCGGTGTCCCCAGAAAAGCAATACAGAGGACATTTTCCAATGGGGACACTAGTTATCATGACCAGGGGGTCCCCAAGGGATTCCCTTAATTTGCAGGGATTTCCTCTCATTCCCAGTTTTTGTTATGGGACAGGAATTGAAGGCAAATCTCCTCAATGGGACACAGATGGCAAAAAATAACTGAAGGATATAACCCTCCCTTATTCTGTCCAAAATTTTAAACGAAAAGGTGGTATGGGCTTTTTAGAGATACACATACAACATATTGCCTCCCAACCACCTATCAACTGCCCTCTGAAAAGCAGTCTAGCAAAAGCAGCCACCAGTGCAAATGAGCCCTAAAAGAGAAGTCCATCTTTATGACCATATTTCATGTTACACCTATATGAGTTCTAACATCAAATCTGGTCACAGCCTGCAGCCCCCCCATCCCCAAAGTGCTCCCATTCTTACAGGATCAGGGGGTTCTTCTCACAACCAACTCCTGATATCATTAGAATTTGGTGTGGCTCTTCATGACTCGGCCACAAAAAACTACCAACCCTGTCTTCCATTGTGGCAGAAGGACTTGTAGTTCTCAATGGAGCACAAGTGATGTCTTCCTTGTAGTCCATGGTACTTCCTGCAGCCTCGTAACTGAAAGTCCATACTTCAGTACTGATCCACTGATTTCCAATGCTTTGTAGGCTCAAAATGCAAAAAATAATATTGCACATTTTTAATTATTAATATGTTTTTTTTAAATTTTATTAGCTTTTAAGAGTATTAAAAGATTGGAATGCTTGCTAAGTTTTAGACCCCTTTCACATGGCTGTTCAGTCAGTCCATCTGTGACCTGTAATTAGATCAAAAATGGACTGTAATGTATCTCTATGGGCGGACAAATGTAAGCGGATGTGCAGCTGACAATATTGCCCACACCTGGATCTGTTTTGGCTTGTCAAACCGAACACAACGTGCTTAAAGCACAGCTCCACCCAAAAGGGGAAGTTCCGCTTTCATGCTTTGCCCACCACTCCCCATTAAGGATTGGCACCTTTGGCGAGCGGGTACCGCTCCCACTTCTGCTGCAATCGCCTAGGCAATCGGAAGCAGAAGTTGCCCTCCCCCTTCCCTCTCTGTAGTCTTCTGGGACACGTCCCAAAAGACTACAGGGCCATTCACAAAGCGCAGCTCTTCTCGCGCATGCGCAGTGGGCACCCGGCTGTGAAGCCGCAAGCTGTCCCAGCCGGTTGCCCACTCCGAAGATGCCGGCGCCAGGGAGAGAAGAGGGCCAGTGAAATCAGCAGTGGTGAGGACACCGCTGGACCGAGGGACAGGTAAGTGACTGTAATTTAAAAGACAGCAGCTACAGTTTTTTAAGCTGCTGACTTTAATTTTTTTTCAGGTGGAACTCTGCATTAACAGACCAAGCTGTCCAGTGAAAGTGGCAGTTAGAGGACAAACCATTGAACAATGACAGTGGGGATTACCATGACCAGCTTTTATTCAATTATGTAAAACCTTCATCCCAAAAAAAAAAAAAAGCCTCTGTAACTGCTGGAGTTCAGCTTTAATTTGTTAGTTGTATGTAAAGTACATCAAAATCCTCTACTCCATCCAACACTACCCTCTCCAAAGTTTAACAATGCTGCTGCTGTCCAAAGGTGGTTATGTTACTCCACCATAGACACAATGGAGGAATGATTGCAGCCAACTAAGACAATAAGTGTTTTACTGACCACATAATCAGGTACAATAAAGGAAAAGGGCCTAAAAAAGAAAACTACCACATCTAAGGACCGGTAAATAGAGAGGAGCCAAATGTACTTGAGTTTGGTTCGAAGCAGGTTTGCAGAACATGACTAAAGTTCAGCTGCATAATCTGAATCATACTGAAGCCAAATGTTAAAAACAGTAATGGTCATTTCTAGGCTAATAGGATAGGGATTGTCAAATTATATAGGGATTGGGCACTGCTCTGGGGGGCATGTACCAAAAAAAAATTATGCTTGCCAGGGAGTAACGGTTTTAATATACTGCAAAATTCCTTTAGATAACATTCCCGGGGGATGTAGTTAACCTGCCTGTGAAGGGGTGCATCTGTACAATATTTATTTATATTTACTACAGCAAAACTGACATTTGTAAACATATTAATTCATTCATTTATACCAGACCCTTATCTTAGATGAGGGTCTGATATAAATGTTGATGGGGGACCCCCCAAAAAATAACAGCGTGGGGTTCCCCCTTACAATACATGCCAGACCCTTAAACTTAATGAGATAATTCATCTATACTGTTGGGGGTCATTGATCGTGATGTACCTGTTGTTTGCTGCCAGGTGATGTGTACATCGTGACCCTGCCTTGCCAACCCCCAGGCTAAACGGCTCCTCCCACATATCAGAGAGAGGCACAGGGAAGGAACATACCTAGCATGCAACGCTGATCCTTGTTTCCTCCTCTCAAGCCCATAACAGGCACTTGTGTGTGATATCCTAGGGCAGTGGTCGGCAAGCCGCGGCTCGCGAGCCACATGCGGCCCTTTACACGCTTTAATGCGGCTCTTGTGTGCCGGGCGCCCGCTCCCCTCCCTCCTCTCGGGCGGCAGGGACTCTGCAGCGTGATCCAAAAAAAAACAGCCAGGGCAGCGTGCTCAAATGCAATGATTGGCCAGTCTCGCTGCCACTCACATCCTGATAGCCAGTGATTGGCTGTCAGGATGTGTGTAGGCGGGGCAGCGTGACGAACGTGAGAGGAGCTAGGCTCCTCTCACAGTCCGCCCTGAAGACCGGAACGGCGCGGGAACATGGCGAGAGGAACGCGCGGAGCAAAGGTAAGTGAATTGACACAGGGGGGACTTGGCTTACTACTTGCTACTTACTTACTACTACTATATGAGGGATGAATTACTATATGGGGGATGAATTACTATAGGGGGGATGAATTACTATGGGGGATGAATTACTATGGGGGATGAATTACTATATGGGGGATGAATTACTATAGGGGGGGTGAATTACTATGGGGGATGAATGAATTACTATATGGGGGATGAATTACTATGGGGGATGAATTACTATAGGGGGGATGAATTACTATGGGGGATGAATTACTATGGGGGATGAATTACTATGGGGGATGAATTACTATATGGGGGATGAATTACTATGGGGGATGAATTACTATGGGGGATGAATTACTATATGGGGGATGAATTACTATGGGGGATGAATTACTATATGGGGGATGAATTACTATGGGGGATGAATTACTATATGGGGGATGAATTACTATATGGGGGATTAATTACTATATGGGGGATGAATTACTATATGGGGGATGAATTACTATGGGGGATGAATTACTATAAAAACTTATTGAAACTAAAAACAGTGTACCATCCTATGTATTTTCAGTTTTAAAAATGTGGCTCTCAAAATAAATTTCAATCGTGGTTTTGGCGAGATTTGGCTCAGTTGAAAAAAAAGGTTGCCCACCACTGTCCTAGGGGATGGATATGTGGAGGGGACAGCACACTAGAAGAGCAAGTTGTAGTATGTAGCTGGTGCTTTCCTGTTCTACATATGAAGGAAGATTCTGACCATCTACTACCCTATTGACCACCCCTGCCCTACTGCCTAATGACCATCCACTGCCCTACTAGCTACTGACTAACCACTGCCCTACTGCTCATCTACTGCCCTACTGCCTACAGACCGTCCACTGACCTACTGACTTCACACTGCCCTACTGTCACCATCCATTGCCTTACTGAGCACCCACTACCCTATTGACACCATCCTTTGCCCTACTGACACCATCCAGTGCCCTACTGAGACTACCTACTGCCCTACTGAAACCACCCACTGTCCTACTGACATCATTCACTGTCCTCCTGACCATCCACTGCCCTACTGACACTATTCACTGCTCTAATGACCATCAACTGCCCTACTGACACCATACACTGCCCCACCAACATCATCCACTGCCCTACTGACTGTCCACTGCCCTACTGTCAACTGCCCTACTGACATCATCCACTGCTCTACTGACCATCCACTGCCCTTCTGCATGTCCACTACCTTACTGACATTATCTACTGCCCTACCAACACCATCCACTCCACTGCTGACCATCCACTGCCCTACTGACTGTCCACAGCCATACTAACGCCATCCATTTCCCTACTGACACAGTCCACTGCCCTATTGAGACACAATTCACCACCCTACTGAGACACTCTCCACTGTTCTACTGACCCCATCCACCACCCTACTGACCCTCTGTCCTGTTCTCTGCTGACCCCTATAATCTGCCCTACAAAGTGAGCACCTCTTTACACTGCCTTACATATTACTGACCTCTGTACTCTGCCCTACATTCTACAGCCAGGGCAGCATTGAGGTAAGACAGCCAGACTAACATTGAGGCCAGCCAGGTCAGAAACTAGTCAAACAAGTCAGCCTAAAGTAGCAATATTTCTGCGGGGTGACCAACTAAATTCCAAAAATGAAAAAATTGTGAATTAATGTGTGATTGCTGAATTTCTCACTGAAGCTAAAGTTTAAAGTGATTCTAAAGTCTTATTAAAAAAAACCCCCAAAAAACCTCCAAACATGTCTATACTTACCTGCTCTCTGCAGTGGTTTTGCACAGAGCAGCCCAGATACTCCTCTTCTCGGGTCCCCCCCCGCCAGCGCTCCTGGCCCCTCCCTCCTGTCGGGTGCCCCCACAGCAAGGAGCTTGCCCCCAGGGTACAGGGTACATAATACCACTACTCACCCCCCCCCCCACCCCCATAGCAAAGTGTAAACACTAAATAATAACGGCACACTTTTTGATACTTATTGAAAAAAAACCAAAAAACCCAAAGTCCTACAATGTAAATCCATCTTCAAACTCGTGCAAGGGCGGACTGACCATTTGGGAACTCGGGCACTGCCCGAGGGCCCGGGGTCAGTAGGGGGCCCCATGAGATGCCCCTGTTACCTTTCATAGGCTTTTTTGGGTGTGGTTTGAGTGTGGGTGAGGATACAGGGGCCCCATGATCCCCTATTGCCCGGGGGCCCCATGAGTTGTCAGTCCGCCGCTGAACTCGTGCAACAATGCAGCTCCCAATCAATCATGTTATCTGACAACTGATGCCCCCCAAATGGAAAAAAAAATCAATCCGAACAACAGACATCCCATCATGTTGCTGACTAGCGGGCTCTCCCAGGTGACGTCATTTATGAAAGATGGGCACGACCACATTTGGTTTGGCCAAATGTGTCCATATTTGGTCAGTGATGTTGCACTATCCCTGCTCTTTGTTTATTTGGCAGGGGATTCCTGATCAGTAAATGAATGAGGCTAGGTTAGGTGATATCACTGGTTGCTAAATGGCGGATTCCCTCTCCTGCACTTTCCTTAGCCACCATGGGTAGATAGGAAGTTGTCATAGATAGTAGCGGTAGAAATACCATTACAATATACAAAGTTCAGCTCCCACCAGATGGGTTAAAAGTTCAAAGTTTGGGTAATTGCCCAAACTTGTGTTAGGACCGCACCTTGAGCTCATCCCTATTGGTAATCTAGATAAAATTATTAAATTTTTGCTTTTAGGTTTTAGATATACTTGACGCCTAAGTAGGTAGGCTGTATTACCTGTATGCATTTCAAGGCTTCATTTTTGTTTTTTGAATGAAGCATCCTTTCAGAACCAAGGTGTATCAGTCACTCTTATTCTGTAACCTTAAACTGATGTACAGAAGAAAATGTAGCTATCCACAAACATTAAATTCCAAGCGCGCAGACAGAGGTGTCGGCAGGGGTCCCGAAGTACAGCGGGAGTTGTTCTATTCGGAGAAGCTAAAAGCTTCTTGTAAGGATCAAACATTAACTTACTATACCACTGAGGTCAAAACTTTATATACACTTTAAAGCCTTAATAATGGCATGCAATGCCAAGCTGCCATTTCTAAAGGGAGCAAATTCCTCTCTTGAATTAAAAAAGGTATAGACTCCAGAGACAAAGATATAATTTCCCCTGGTACAAATCATTCGTAATACCTCATCTGGAATATGCAGTTAAGTTTTGGGCACCAATTCACAAAAAGAACATTGGGGAACTGGAGAAAGTACAGAGAAGGGCAACCAAACTGATAAGAGGCATGGAGGAGCTCAGCTATGAGGAAAGATTAGAGGAACTGAATTTATTGTCTCTTGAGAAGAGGAGATTAAGGGGGATATGATCTCCATGTATAATACATAAGGGGGGATATGATCTCCATGTATAATACATAAGGGGGGATATGATCTCCATGTATAATACATAAGGGGGGATATGATCTCCATGTATAATACATAAGGGGGGATATGATCTCCATGTATAATACATAAGGGGGGATATGATCTCCATGTATAATACATAAGGGGGGATATGATCTCTATGTATAATACATAAGGGGGGATATGATCTCTATGTATAATACATAAGGGGGGATATGATCTCCATGTATAATACATAAGGGGGATATGATCTCCATGTATAATACATAAGGGGGGATATGATCTCTATGTATAATACATAAGGGGGATATGATCACCATGTATAATACATAAGGGGGGGGGGATATGATCTCCTTGTATAATACATAAGGGGGATATGATCTCCATGTATAATACATAAGGGGGGATATGATCTCCATGTATAATACATAAGGGGGGATATGATCTCCATGTATAATACATAAGGGGGGATATGATCTCCATGTATAATACATAAGGGGGGATATGATCTCCATGTATAATACATAAGGGGGGATATGATCACTATGTATAAATACATAAGTGGTTCATATAGTGAACTCAGTGTAGAGCTATTCACCCTGAGGTCATCACAGAGGACAAGGGGGCACTCTTTATGTCTGGAGTAAAAGAGGTCTCCAAATATGGAAAGGTTTCTTCACAGTAAGAGTTGTGAAAATATGGAATAGACTCCCTCAAAAGTTGGTTCTGGCCAGCTCAGTGGATTGCTTTAAAAAAGTCCTGGATTCTTTCTTAGATACACAGAATATAACTGGATACTAACATTTATAGGTAAAGCTGATCCAGGGAATATCCGATTGCCTCTCGGGGGATCAGGAAGTAATTTGTTTCCCTGCAGGAGCAAATTGGATCATGCTTTGCTGGGTTTTTTGCCTTCCTCTGGATCAACTGTGGGTATAGGACTATAACTTTTTTTTGTAATGATTGAACTGGATGGACTTTTGTCTTTTTTTTCAGCCAGACTAACTATGTAACTATGTAAAAACCATGATGGTGCCCTGTGTTTGGCCTTAAAATTTATGTAAACCCTAAAAATTAACTTCGCCTGTTTGCTCTCTCTTGGTCTGTTAAAGCATTTCTATGGTCACAGCATGCACCTTCAGTTTAGAACAGTACCGTAATAACAATACAAACAATACTTATATTTGACAACCCAAGCCTATTTGGAAAATATTTCTTGTTATGAGTGCTACCTGTCTGCTGGACATCTCTTTCCACAACCTCCTGAATTCCCTGCATGCTTTGCAGCTTCTCCTCTGCTTTTTATCTTCTTTACTTTCTAAGGACTACATGTCCCATGGCACCTTGCTGCCTGTAAGCAGTAATTCCTATACTGACTCAGGAATAGAGAAAAGTAATAGAGAGGAAACCTTCTGTTGGGGACACTATTTATTGCAGGAATTTCCTCTCACTTCCTGTTTAGCTATGGGACAGGAAGTGAAATGTCTGCAAGGGGACACAGATGGTAAAAAAACAAAATCTGTCAGGGTTTATAATTCTCACTTATGCTATCCAAAAGTGAAAAAAAAAAGCTATGCCTATAGTTCTACTTTAACCTTAGAGTTCATTCCCACTTGGGCACAAAAAAATCCATAGAACCAAATGGACCAAAATGCAAGACAATTCTCTCCTTTAGTGTCCCACCTATTGGCCGACTGACCATTTAGGCACTTGGGCACTGCCTGAGGGCCCGGGGTCAGTAGGGGGCCCCATGAGATGCCGCTGGTACCTTTTTCATAGGCTTTTTTTGGGTGTGGTTTGAGTGTGGGCAAGGACACAGGGGCTCCTGGATTTCCTATTGCCCGGGGGCCCAATGAGTTGTCAGTCCGCCCCTGGTCCCACCTGTGCAATACCTGGAGGAATATGAGATTTGGGGCACAAGACCTTGCTGCTCCTATGCATCTTAAACTTTTATGTATGATAGTATAGTGAATAACCACTTGCATTCCAGAAGGTTTTACCCCCCTTCATGACTGGGGCATTTTTTGCTATTCGGCAGTGAGCTACTTTAACTGGCAATTGCACGGTTATGTAACTGTACCCAAATTAAATTTCTGTCATTTCACACAAATAGAGCTTTCATTTGGTGGTATTTGATCACCACTGGATTTTTTATTTTTTATAATACAAATATATAAATATAAATGAAAAAAGACAGAAAATTATGAAAAAAACAAATAATATTTTATAGTGAGAAAAAAGGTGCTGCGCTACTTGCCCTAAGGTTGAGTGGGCCTCAAAACACGACACATAAAACTACTGATAAATAAGTGAACAATCCCATAAAACAAAAAATAAGTGAACAATCCACATAAACCATGTAACTAGTGTGCACAATAATAACCACAGAAGTGAATCCACAATATGTGTAGCAAGTGGCAATAACGTGGTCCAAAAGTGAAAAAAAACAACAAATATCAGTAGATAAGTGACATAAAGGATAACTTAAAAACAAAAAATGCTGTCAATGTCAATATAAAATGGCATAAGGAAATGACAAAAAAATGAAATAAACCGTGGCCAAATAGTGACTAGAAAACATCAAGTGAAGTGGATAAATGAGGAAAAAATTTTGTCAAAGGGTGATATAAAAGTGACATAAAAAAGTGACACCAGACATAAAAGTGGCCAATAGGTGCATGCAATAGAATAATATATCTGAAAAAACAATGCAATCAATGGCGAAAAAGATGGAGAAAAAAAGGAGGGCAAATAAGTCCCAAAAAACAACAAACAGTCCCAAAAACACAGTCCCCAAAGACAAAGGTTGTGTGAATATTCTGCAAAAAGCCATGCACCTGCACTCCAGAAGGTTTTACCCCCTTCATGACTGGGACATTTTTTGGTATTTGGCAATGAGCTACTTTAACTGGCAATTGCGCAGTCATGTAACACTGTACCCAAATTACATTTCTGTCATTTCACACAAATAGAGCTTTCATTTGGTGATATTTGGTCACCACTGGGTATTTTATTTTTTATAATATAAATATGTAAATATAAATGAAAAAAGAGAAAATTCTGAAAAAACAAACAATATTTTATACTTTCTGTTATTAAACATATCTTCATAAATTTAGGCCAAAGTGTATTCTGCTACAAGTCTTTGGTAAAAAAAAAATCCCAATAAGTATATATTAGCAGGTTTGTGCAAAAGTTATAGCATCTACAAACGATGGTATATAAGCTCAGGTTTTTACGCAGCTATGACGCTATACTGGTAATGATGGTGATCAGTGACCTAAAGTGGGACTGTGATAGTGTGGCGGGCAATCTGGCACTAACTGACACTGGCTCTGAGGTACACTAACTGACCTTTAACATCAATAGTGACACTAATACAGTGATCAGTGCTAATACTGTAAACTGTCACTGTACTAATGACATTGGCTGGGAAGGGGTTAACATCTAGGGACAATCAAAGGGTTAAGTGTGTGCCTAACAATGTGGAATGTGTGTAACGTGCTGCTTTTACTAATAGATATTGATCCTTTAGAAACAGCCACATTGATGCTCTGTGTACAGAGCCCTGTGTTGTTATTAAACACAGGGCTTGGTGCTGTGATTGGACGCAGCCGATTAGCAGGTCACAGGCTGGGACCTGCTGCAAAACTTGTGCTGTAGCGAATCACAGTACAGATGGGGTGGGACACGGGTACCCTATACTCGGAAGAGCTGGATCATGTATATATATTCAAATTTTTCGAGTTTCACCTGTGTATATATATATATATATATATATACACGTGTGAAACTCAAAAAATTAGAATATCGTGCAAAAGTTCATTTATTTCAGTAATGGAGTATGGAGGAAGAATGGAGAGGCACACACTGCAAGATGCTTGAAGTCCAGTGTGAAGTTTCCACAGTCTGTGTTGATTTGGGGAGCCATGTCATCTGCTGGGGTTGGTCCACTGTGCTTCATTAAGTCCAGGGTCAACGCAGCCGTCTACCAGGAGATTTTGGAGCACTTCATGCTTCCTTCTGCAGACGAGCTTTATGGGGATGCTGACTTCATTTTCCACCAGGACTTGGCACCTGCCCACACTGCCAAAAACACTAAAACCTGGTTCAATGACCGTGGGATTACTGTGCTTGATTGGCCAGCAAACTCGCCTGACCTGAACCCCATAGAAAATCTATGGGGCATTGCCAAGAGAAAGATGAAAGACATGAGACCGAACAATGCGGAAGAGCCGAAGGCCGCTATTGAAGCATCCTTGTCTTCCATAACACCTCAGCAGTGCCACAGGCTGATAGCTTCCATGCGACACCGCATTAAGGCAGTAATTGCTGCAAAAGGGGCCCAAACCAAGCACTGAGTACATATGCTTGCTTATACTTTTCAGAGGTCCGATATTGTTCTATGTACAATCCTTGTTTTATTGATTGCATGTAATATTCTAATTTTCTGAGATTGTGGATTTGGGGTTTTCATGAGCTGTAAGCCATAATCATCACAATTATGACAAATCACGGCTTGAACTATCTTGCTTTGCATGTAATGAGTCTATCTCATATATTAGTTTCACCTTTTAAGTTGCATTACTGAAATAAATGAACTTTTGCACGATATTCTAATTTTTCGAGTTACACCTGTATATATATATACGCATGGCTCCCAAATGTCTCTGATTTTGAGGGACTGGCCCTCATTTGGAACAAAGTCCCTCTGTCCCTCATTCCTTCTCATTTGTCCCTCATTTTAGTCTTATGTACATACCTATATTAAACATGCTCTATGTATTCATCAAAAAGTGTTTTACAGTGTTAAACTTTTTATCCAATCTCTGAATTGTTGCATTTGTATATTTCAAAAGCCAATAAAAAGGAATACAGTTGCAAGAAAAAGTATGTGAACCTCTTGGGATTACATGGAGTTTTGCATGAATTGGGCATAAAATGTGCTCTGAACATCATCTAAGTCACAAAAATAGAACACAGTCTGCTGAACATAATACTACACAAACATTAGATGTTACCATGGTTTAATTGCACATAACATGTAAACATTCACAGTGCAGGGAGGAAAAAGTATGTGAGGCCCTAGCTTAATGACTTCTCCCAGAGCTAATTGGAGCCAGGAGTGAGCAAACCTTGACTCCAATCAGTGTGATGATATTGGATGTGTTGCTGACAGCTGTCCTGCCCTTAAAAAACACACACACCTGTTTTGGGTTTACTGATTTCAAGAAGCACTGTCTGATGTGAACCATGCCTCGCAGAAAAGAGCTCTCAGAAGACCTACGATCAAGAATTGTTGACTTGCATGAAGCTGGAAAGGGTTACAAAAATATCTCTAAAAGCCTTGATGTTCATGTGTCCACGGTAAGACAGACTGTCTACAAATGGAGAAAGTTTAGCACTGTTGCTACTCTCCCTAGGCGCGGGTCGTCCTGTAAAAATGACTGCAAGAGCACAGCGCAGAATGCTGCATGAGGTAAAGAAGAATCCCAGAGTGTCAGCTAAAGACCTACAGAAATCTCTGGCACATGCTAACATTTTTGTTGACACATCTACAACAAGGAAAACATTAAACAAGAATGGAGTACATGGGAGGACACCACCACGGAGGAAGCCATTGCCGTCCAAAAAGAATATTGCAGCACATTTGAAGTTTGCAAAAGAGCATCTGGATGTTCCACAGCACTACTGGCAAAATATACTGTGGACAGATGAAACCAAGATTGAGTTGTTTGGGAAGAACACACAACACTATCTGTGGAGAAAAAAAAAGGCACAGCACACCAACATCAAAACCTCATCCCCACTGTAAAACATGGCGGAGGGAGCATCATGGTTTGGGGCTGCTTTGCTGCCTCAGGGCCTGGACGGATTGTTGTCATTGATGGGAAAATGAATTACAGAGTTTATCAAGACATTTTGCAGGAAAACGTACGACCATCTGTCCGCCAACTGAAGCTCCGCAGAGGATGGGTGATGCAACAGGACAATGACCCAAAGCATACAATAATTCAACAAAACAATGGCTGCAACAGCACAGAATACGCCTTCTGGAGTGGCCCAGTCAGAGTCCTGACCTCAACCCGATTGAAATGCTGTGGCATTACCTTAAGAGAGCGATTCACACCAGACATCCCAAGAATATTGCTACACTGAAACAGTTTTGTGAAGAGGAGTGGTCCAAAATTACTCCAGATCGTTGTGCAGGTCTGATCTGCAACTACAGGAAACGTTTGGTTGAGGTTATTGCTGCCAAAGGAGGGTCAACCAGTTATTAAGTCCAAAGGTTCACATACTTTTTCCTCCCTGCACTGTGAATGTTTACATGTTATGTGCAATTTAAACCATGGCAACATCTAATGTTTGTGTAGTATTATGTTCAGCATACTGTGTTCTTCTATTGTTGTGACTTAGATGACGTTCAGTGCACATTTTATGCCGAATTCATGCAAAACTCCACGTAATTCCAAGGGGTTCACATACTTTTTCTTGCAACTGTAGTAGTTGAAAAAAAACACTTGTGGGTTTAACCAATCATTTTTTGCTTAACCACTTTCTCTCCAGAGGATTCCCCCACCCCCCTCCTGACCAAGCCATTTTTTGCGTTACGGTGCTGCGTTATTTTGACTGACAATTGCGTGATCATGCAACACTGCACCCAAATGGAATTTACCTCCTTTTTTTCCCACGAATTGAGATTTATTTCAGTGGTATTTGATTGCCTGTACGGTTTTTATTTTTTGTGCTATAAGCAAAAAAAGACCGACAATTTGGAGAAAAACAATTAATCTGTTTTCATCAGTTTCTGGGCCGTTAACATCCGTTTTTCATCCATTTTTTTTGTGGAAGAGAAATAGGGTTGTCTTCTGTTCAAAAAATCGGATGTTAACAGATGCGGACATTGACGGATGTAAAAAGATGTTCATCCGCAAGTCCATAGAAATACATGGGGGTCCATTTTTCATCCATAAATGGACAGATGA